AGGAAGGAAAAGCCACTCCCTGGGGAGCACCCAGCAAGGCAAACTCCCTGAGAAGCGGCTCTGGCAGCAGGAAAGGCACGGGGGGAGCTGAGCTGACAAATGCTGGCGGCTCTGCAAACAGTGACGCTGCAGGGAATGAAGGCTCATTGTGTGCAGGGCTCCAAAACAACCCAGCGTGCCGGCTGCAGCTGGGGGTGCTCCTCAATGGAAGCAGGAAAAGGCAATTATTCCCCCTGGGATAATTGGTAAATTAATTTAATTTATTAATTTATTATTTCATAATAATAAATATTAAATTATTATTATTATTATTATTATTATACATAATATATTGCCACTGCAGCCACTGACACGTCTTATTGTTATATATCATATTATATATAATATATAATATATAATATATATTATATATTAATTATATGTTATATATTATATATTATATATTATAAAATAATATATATTTATATATGTTATAAATATATAACGTACATAATATATATGCTATATATTATACAATAATACTATATTATATACGTTTATGTTATATGTTATATAGTAATTGTAATAATAGTTATAGTAATAGTTATAGTAATAGTAATAGTAATAATAATAATCATAATAATAATAATGTCAGTGGCTGCATGCCAAGCTCTGCAATCAAACAGGGACAGGGAGGCTCTGTCAGGTGGAGGCAGCTGAAAATCCCCGGGGGATGTCAGGGGTGATTGCCAGGGACGAGCAGGGCTGCAGAGCATTGGGGAAAGGAATGCAGGAACAGAATCAGAATTTATCCCAATTCCCTGATTTCTGCACAAGGCACCATGAGGAGAAAGAGCAAAAGCCCAAATCTCTGCCAGGGCTGCCTCTCCTGTGGAGCAGGGCTGGGAAAATCCAGATTCCTGCTCACTTTCCTTTTTTCCTATCCATGAAACCCAGAGCTCTGAGCAGCGTTTGTCAGCGGATATCTCACCATCCTGAAGAGAAGACACCCAGAAAATTGAGTTTGAGCTCTCTTTAAACATCTCCCCACCTTCCAGAGGGCGGGGAGACATTTCTGCTCACACTGAGATGGTTTTTGTCACACAAACATGCAGCCATGATCTCACTGCCATGGAAACGAGCCTGCCAAAAA